GCTTTCACTTGCAAAAATAAAGATTTCTATTTTAATAATTAAGACCAGCATGAAATCCAGAGGCAAGTGCTCTCAGCAGTGATTTGGCCAGCATTATAAAGTGCTCCAGAAGGGTGGCCTTAGCCTTGTTTCCTAGTGGTGGTAAGATGGCTGCCATTGCTCAAGGGATCACAACGTCACACAACCACATTCAAAGGCAGATCAAAAAGGCATAGCTGTAGTATAGCTGTTCTGACACAAGGAGGGGAAAGACAGAGGTTCCCAGTTGCCCCTGAAATCTCATGGAGCAAATCCATATCACCTGTCCAACTCTAAACAAATCCTGGCGAGGACAATGGGGATTTATCTTGATTATCTTAGACCAATAGGAATGTATTCCCTAAGAGTAAGCCCTGCTGGGCCAGAACCACACCATGGAAATAACTTCTCAGCAGGAAAGAAGTGGGGAGAATGGAGAATAGAACAGGGGGAAAAGCTAGGAGACCCCTTTTTATTAAGCCCTCTCCCAGTGCCCTCGGGCTGTAGTTGTATTTACTTGCAAAGTAAGGATCTTCTTTGAAGCTAATGATGCACAGCATAATAACTATTGTTATTCTCTTGTTATTTGTTTATAAGATTTTGTTTTTCCAGGCTGGGAATATAGCTCAGTGGCACAGCACCTGCCTGGCAAGTGTAAGTCCTAAGTTCCCAGTACCAAAAATAATTTGTTTCTCCTTCATAAAATAAAAAAAAAATTGTGTGCTAGTCAAACTATCTTTATTATGACCAGACAGTGAAGAAAGTTTAGCAATTTTCCTTTAAAAAGTACATTCTTGAGCCAGGCATGGTGGCACATGCCTATAATTCCAACATTTGGGAGGCTGAGGCGGGAGGATTGCTGAGTGCAAGACCAGCCAGGGCTGCATAGTGAGTTCAAGGCCAGCCTCACTACATAGCCAGACCTTGTCTAAAAATAAGAGAGTACATTATTATACTTTAAAATAAAAAATCCTCTAAACCAACTAAGGCTCTTCATGCACTGTGCAATTGAAGGACCAAGGAGGGGACTGCAGTCACGGCGTCAGTGGAGCTGGTTCCTCTGTAGGACCTGGAGGAGACTCCATTGCTCAGCCTCTGTTTGGTTTCTAGCATCTGCCTCTACTCCCTGGCTTGCAGCCCTTCCCACAGCTTCCAAGTGCAGCACCCCAGTCTCTACTTCCGTCTTCACTCCGCCTTCTCCTCGCTGTAGCCGGAAGCCCCTCCCCTAAGGATGGGTGTGGCCGTGTCTCTGGCCCACCTGAATGGCCCGGATGACTTCCCTACCTCAGCATTCTTAATTCTGTCTTCAGAGTTCCTCTTGTCATAAATGGGGACGTTCACCGGTACCAAGGATTCATACAGGGGTAGCGGGGGGCCCCCATTCACCCTTCCACACAGGCTACATGTGCTTAGAGCCTATTCCTTAAAGATCCATTTACTAAGTGGGTCAAGGCATGTCTATTTTATTAAATACATGCTCGATTAAGAACCTCTGGTCTAGCACGTAGCTCTGTTCAGCCTACAGGGATCTTCATCATACTGTCCCTGAGGTTTCATTTCAGAGTCTTAGAACGGTGCTATCACCATCTTGTGGTTCAGCAGCTCCGATGCTGCCCGGGATCTATACACCAATGCATTGATAATCCCACTGAACCCTCCCATGCTTGCACAGTAGCTTGTGTTTACATTTTACAAATGTGGAGAGGGGCTCAGAGACTGTTATGTCTGTCCAAGGCCACACAGCCAGGAGAATGTAGCTCAGGAACCTAAATCCATTTCCTGTTCTGGAGCTCTACCTATCCTGCAAAACTGCCTGACAGCCCAGGACAGGGCATGAAGAAAAGTACTTTACAGGTGGCTCTGCAAGTCACATATGTCCATCCCAACCCTTGCATACACTCTCCACCGTCAGAGTCACCCAACAAGTATCAGAGTCCCAGAGCCCTCTTTTTCTTCCTGACACCTGTATTACCTATCACTATCCGATAGAGAAGATCATGAACACTAGTGCCAGTGAAGTTGCAGCCTTGGGGGATATGAGCTCAATCTGCCCACACAGTTCCCCTCTGACTAGGCTGCCTCCCCCACACACTGTAGGAGGTGTACTTTGAAAAGTTGAGAGCACGACTTGAATCAACAGCTTGTTCCAGGCTACCATGACAACAAGTGTTCATCCCAGCAGCTGCTCCCGGCAAGTTTAGTTTCCTCCTCTCAAGGCTCTGCTTTAGCATTTGTGGCAAACCCGTCAGAACCGCGTCACGCTGGAGAGCAGCTTTAAGGCTCAGATGACCTCGACCCCTTTACAAACAGACAAACTTGCAGGTGAGAGGTTCTAGTTCTGTGATCAGAGATGTATAACTTCCACCCTGGACCAGCTATTAAGGGTTTAAATTGCTCTCAGTAACATGAGCATTTTGGGCAAAGTATTTTTCCAATTTGTGGGTCATGAGCCAGTTTGTGGATGTGAGTCACTGGTTTCCTATTGCCACTATGACAAACACAAACTTAGTGGCATAAAGCACAGGTTATCTTACAGTTCTGGAGGTCAGAAGTCCCAAGTGCAGCTGTGGAGCTGTGGCCCTCATGAAGGGTCTAGAGGAAAGTCTGTTTCCTTATTTGTTCCTCTATTAGAGGCTGCCTATGGTCCCTCGTCTGTAGCCCGGAATCATTCAGAATTCTGCTTCCACTGATACATGTGCTCTAAGTCCAACCATCCTGCCTCTGATTGGGCCCACATGGATAATCTCACAATGTCAAGACCCAGATCATATCTGCAAAGCACATGCTGCTACGGAAAGGTAATAACATCGAAGGTTCTAGGGATTAAGATATGGACGTGAGGTGGGCTGTCATTTTTCAGTCACTTATGTAGACAACTTGTTTTCCGTGCTGGGGATTGAATCCAAAGCCTCATGCATGCTAGGCAATCTTTTTAAATGCCATTAAAAGGAGCATATGTTAAGTTTTATTTTTGGTTCTAATGTGCAGCAATACAACCTTGTAAAATGTCACATACAACAGTACGAATCCAAGATCATCTGTCTTGTCATTGGCAGAATAATGCCTTATACCCTTATGGGTCAAGGTGCAAAGAATACCTTGATGAGAATGAGATTTTGATCCCTATTACTCTAGAAATGCAGACTTCTGTACAACGTAAGTGCAGCTATTTCTTTCCTCATGCCAGGACCGAATTCTATAAATGTATGAAAAGAATCCAGAAAAAAATGGTGTTGAAATAAGGCAGAAGAATCCACTGTAAAGTTAAAGATCTACTGTGTATCACAAGATATCAACCACATAGTCCTAAATAGTCTCTCCTTGACTTCAATGTTAGGGTATGAAAACCCCAGTAAGATAAAAATTCATAGCCAAGAGTTAAAAGTCCAAATATTAGAGACTTGTATTTCTATTTTTACCTCCCCCTACATAGAGAATTTTAAATCATGTTCTTCTCCTTGCAAAAACTCTGGTTTATATCTGGAGTGTTTTCCTAGTTGAAGGATACAAGAGAACTTATTTCTATATTAGAGATATCTTAAAGAGTCTGTGAGCTCCCACCTTGAGTCATGCTGATGATTTAGTTGCAGACTAGGAGATCAGGGTCCCCTCAGGGAGAAGCCTCAGTAGCTGGTAAAGGATCAAGTATGTGTAAAGGAAAAAATGGTCTTCATGCCAGGATTGTTATTCTTGAACCTAACGAGGGAAGGAAACTCTTAATACAGTATTCCTTTCCCACCGGAGACTGCTGGTCTTTTGACTGGAACTACAGAGGGGCATGCAACTAATTTTAAATTCTCAAGGAAGTTGTCTATTTGAGTCATTTGAGTTAGGAAATACTTCAAGGCAGATGTCCCTTTCTTGGGGACACCTGGTTTCTCTTAGGAAGGAAAGTTCTGCTAATGATTAAAGGTGGAGCTCGGTTTTGCATGAGTATCCCCTAAAAAGCCACGTGTTAAATGTCTGTTCCCCATGGTGGTGGTAGTGAGAGATGCCATGGACTTGAGGTTACTGAAGGTAGAACCCAAAAGAGGACTGTGGGGACCTAGTCCTGTCCCCTGCTTCTCGTCTCTAGATATGACCACTCCCTCTGAGCTCCACTGTTCTGCACCATCTGAACAATCCAATGGGACCACAGAACTATGAGGGGAGGACCTACGGTCACTTCGCTGCTTTGTAAATACTCCATGCTAGGTATTTTTAAAAGTAACAGAAATCCAACCCAGGCAGCTTCCTGGCCTCTATCTTTTCTGAGGGTCAAAGGGATAAAAGAGTTCGGCTCACTTAAGTTACTCCCAGATAGGCTACAGCTAAACCCCATTATTGAAAATGAGTACCAGAGGATTCAGGTACAGTAGTAAAGGGTCACTCTGGAGTGAGAAAGCAAATAAGGACCAAAATGTGTAGTAGATGTCATGAAACAGGAAGAAATTGTTCAAATGGGAAGGGGAACAAGGGAGGAGGGAGGGGGAGAGGAGGGAATGGAAAAGAAAAAAATAACGGAAACAAAGCTTCTGTAAATAAGGGGCAGAAGGGATTGAAGGGAGGAGAGGGGAATAGGGGAAAAGGAATCAAGATATATCATACAGAGGCACAAATTCCCTGTGGTGGATGCTATCATTATATACAGCATATCTAAAGTGTACCAATAAACTTTCTTAAAGATGTAGTTATAAGACTATAATTATTCCTGAAGTTAAAAGCAGTTTTTGCAGTCTCATTGGCCTTAATGAACTAGAACAAGGTAGGAGGAAGAGCATAAGAAAATATTACAAAAAATATTTTTACAAGTAATAAAGGGTCAGAAGAGGCCAATTTAAAATCTCCCTCTTCAGTCCACATAGACCAAAGCCCGCCCAGAGGGTTGTGCCTAGGTATTGAATCCAGTTTAAAAAATAATCACAGGAACAATACTTCAAGGCTATCTCATCTCAAAAAGGTAGAAAGCAGGAGGTTCACTTCAGCTTTATTTGCAAGTTCAATTAGTGATTTAGCACCACAGTTCTTTTCTTATACAGGTAATATAGGAATCCTAGAGTTACCACCACACCCGCGAAGGCAGCCCCCGCAGCCGCTGCTTTTGAAGCAACGTCTCCAGCAATCCTAAGGCCTTTGGTGTCCACAACATCTGGAAAGGAAGCAGACATTCAAACTGTAAGGTCAGGTTGAAAGATCACGTTGAAGCCTTATGTATTACGACTCCTCAGAGAATTAGCCAAGGCTAAGCTTCAATAAACTGCTTTGGGAACTTCTACAGCAGGGTCTGCATCCTTACTATGTAAACCAACCACCTCCTTTCCTGGTCCACATCCACTTTTCCCTCTGCCACTCCCTTTGCTTTTTCCAGACTCAAGTCAGAAAGCCACCTGGAAAGGCCTCAGAACTCCTGCCTGGGTAACACTGCATCTGATGTAACAGAGACGGTGAGCTATCCCCCTAGTGCGTGATCTCACCTGTTAGGGAGATAGGACTGCTTAATTTCACATTCCAGACCCAAAGGTTAAGATCATCTGGGGTGAGAATGTGGGATGATAACAGTAATGCAATCCCATATAGACTGGTGTAACAGTCACAAGTTAAAAGGTGCCGTGTCTTTTAGCCTATCAATCCTACTAGGAGCGTATCCTGAAGTTGTGAGGTAGGCAACAATCCTCTCAGAGATCTAATACGGTATTAAGGATCCAATACGGTAATAACTATTCACTAGATATCCACGAATGAGGAACATGACTGAGGCATGGCATATGCAACCCTGATAAGCACGGCTGAGACAGTGAGACAGGTCTCTGCAGATGTAAGAGTGCTAGAACTAGCAGTAATCGATCAGTAGGTAGACCATACGGCCCTAATTAAGTGGGGATTTCTGGATGTGGATGCAAAAGACTCAACAGCAGCCTCTCAGGGAAGGAGGACTCTTACTATCTTCTTGTTTAATTTATCATGAACATGTGCCATACATAACGTTAAGCTTTGGGGGTAAAAGGTCAAGTAACCCAGGCTTTAACTCAGTACCTCCAAATGAAGAGTCATCCGACAACAGGAGAATGGGTCCCGGGAGGCTGACTGTCGTTCCGTTTTCTCCAGTGGCCCCTGTGGCTAGAGACAGATAATCAAGGTGATGTTTGAGCTTTTACTGTAAAACGGGGATGGCTTTTTAGAGAACTCCTCTACAGAGCTAGACAAGAACCTGCCCATCTGACTCACTGATAAAAGCAGACTGCGCTAAGGAAAGTTTTCCCGGGTTCCAGGGACTAACAGTGAGTCATATCCATCCTTAAAACCTTTAATTCTGGGAGACTGAAGCTTGGTCTGAGGAAGAATCCCAGTAGCTGTGATTTGGGATTTTTACCTCTTCTGCGCCTAGATGAGGCCGGGCAAGTCACAGAACACAGAGGGGAGTCGGGAGACAGCCGATTGCAGACTAAAGCACTGCAGTGGAAGTAGACCTGGAGACAGAAGAGAATTAGGTTGAACCAAATCACTCCCATCTAACCTGCCTCAGGTAGCTTCTTGATCACTTACCAGGGAAGACAGCACCTGATCCTCCGACACAAAGGCAAAGGTCTTCACGTCGAACCTCTGATAGTGACCAGGATGGGTCGTGGAGGAGCCAGCCGGATGGAAGGTGGTTTGGTAGTTGTCCAGGCTGTATTCACAGCTAGGGAGAGACGTCAGTCACATGGACCCCTACATGCATGTTTGTCCACACTGAGTCATGTGCCGCACCTTCGAGAGTACAGCCATGTCCATCTCCCACCAGCGTCTAACGCTACCAGGAAGTCATAAGTTGTATCTGACAGTTGCATGCTTTTCTACTGTGCATTAAAACAAATACCTATCTCTTCATCAAGTAGTACAAGTTTTACGTGTAGCACTTCAGAAGACAATGGCTTGGTTATTTCCCCTAATATGAGTGTCTATTATGCCCAGGAGTATATGCTAGTGATAAGAGTAGAAAATCCCTGCTATCTTATATCTTACATGTTAGCAAGGGAGGAAGGAACTTAAAGGACATAATATGCTACATGGTAAATACGAAGGGAAGAGACCAAGGGAAGGGATAAGGAGGTTCAAGGTAGGCTCTTGGACAAGGGTTACTCCACCAAATCTTCCATGAAAAGGAACGAGCTGCATAAATGCACTGGCTATGCATAGTGTGGAGAGGGGTGTGTGCCTGGGGGTTAAGAGCACGGCAGCAGACTCCCCCACAGTGTCAAGAAAGCCAAGATGCAGTTTGCCACAGGCGCAGATCCCTGGAAAGGGCCCTGTGGGTGGAACTGAGGGAACAACTGTCTATGCATGCATGTGTCTCTGCAAGCCCCTGACATCATCGTACCCAGTTCTTCGGTCAGGTGGGAATTCTAACCCCAGCTCCACACTTACCAAGCATTGCTTTAAGGCTAGTTATGTGAGTGGCAAGCTTGAGTTTCTTCATGAAATGAGAGCTAATGTCTCCATTGCAGGGTGAGAAGTCTCAGACGATGCATGTGGAATGCACAAGGCCTAGCATATGGGGTATGTTCAGGCATTGGATGAGGGTGGAACTCCCATTTCCCTTGATAGAGAATTAGAGTCACACTCCTCTGGGGGAGGATCCCACTCTATAAGGCCCCGGGTGATAAAGCACCATGAGCCACCTCGCTGTTCCGAGGACTGATGACTAGAACAAGGACTAAGTCCGGGCTTTGGAGCCAACATTCCCCTAGAACCTAAGAAAGTTTATTTTCCATCACAGGCAAATCCTGAGAGTACCTAGGCAGCCTTCCAAAGAGTACCTACCCATCCACGACAATATTCCACCGAGGGAGAGAAGCAGGGTCCATAGTGGATGTTGCCCAGCAGTCATCCAAGACCAGTTTGATGTTGGGGTCATTCTTGTTCAGGATTCTCACTTCCATGTAAATCGGCTGTCGGAGGTACCTCACTATGGGGTACTCACTGCCTTTGTAAGGTTGTCGGTAGGAGTTATCTGAAATGGAACAGGAACCTCAGTATTCAAGTAGGTGGTAGTCACAACACATACGTCAGCATCACTACCGTCCCATCAGTCTGCCAGCATCGGAAAGTTCATTTTAGGGAAAATCCCCAAAGGTGTTTAAGCAAGTATCCCGAGCCTCAACATCTCACCTGGGTAGGTTTGCAGAATCAATGTAAGCGGACCTGGCCTCGCAGAGGCTCCTGGAGGAGGAAGACTTTCGATGTTGGCGTTTAGTAGCATGTTATCCCTACTGTAATAGCACTTCACTGTCATTCTGCAAGAATGTGTAGGGGTGATGAAAAGCTTAGATTAACAGATTCTTTGAATTTAAACTAGGGATTTAAAAGAAAATCAAATAGCAGCTGTAACACACCTGAATTCACTATCTCTGGATATTTTGCTTGGAGGAAGATCTTTCCAGAGAGCATGTATTTCATTTTCGTAGATAACTTTATCATCTTCAAACTTAAATGTTAGAGGAAGTTGGTTAACAATTAATTCAAAGAAAGTCTTGACCTCCTACCACCTGCCAGTACTAACCTTATGCTTTGTTCCACATCCATTCAGGGGTATGTGAAACCGTATCACCTCCTCAGACTGAGCTGTGAAAGCAGGCTGGCAGGATGAGTTCCCCACTCTGAGGGTACCCAAATTGAGAGCAGGTCTTGTATGGTGGCTGTAGACCTCAAAGTCCATAAACCCATCTTGGGTACATAGCTCTCCTGTAACTAGACAGCAGTGAAGTTTTGGAGAAAATGAGTTCCATGGAATGGGCATTTTTCAGAGAACTTAAACGAGACAAGAAAGTGATACCCAGCCATCCATCCCTCCATCCATCCCTCCGTCCATTCATCCACCTTGTGTTATGAGGGAATAGTCGTAATATTCAGCAAGAGGCACCAGAATTTGTCCTAAATCTTTGCTTGGGGAAAATACTTGGATAACCACTTGAGATGTAAGTGAGCTTAAACACACCGCAAGGGAAGGCAAGGCCAGCAGACACGGGAAGAAGAGCCATTCAGGACAAGAGATCAATGGGAAAAGCCAGGATGAGAAACTCCAGCGATAGACAGACTCACGACGGCTTTAAGAACAGCGCCTTGTGTAATCGTGTCCCTTAATATAGACTGAGTACTGACATGACGTTCAAAGTTTATTTTGGAGCATTTCAGATTTCTACATTAGGGATGCTCAACTGGTAAAGTCTCAGTCTGAACTCACCAATCCTAAGTGGCTTTGGGGGAAATTGGGGCGGGGATTAACTTCTGTTATTTAGATTAACATGGCACAAATTAAACAGAAGCACTGAGGCAATGTTGAATGAGAGGAAATACTCAGTAGTCCTTTTATGGACTTTGTAGATGTTTAAGGGAAAAAGTTTTAAAACTTTTATATTTCCTCTAAGATGGTGAGCTCAGGTCTCTCACCCAGAATATCCAGATGAATTGAATATAGGACAGACTGAGATCTAGTTACACGAGGGCTTTAGAAATATAGTTGGGGCCCCATCATAGCAGCCGGACTTTATCTGACTAGTCTTCAGTTTCTTGAAGCCACAAGCAATAATCAGAATTTGAACTTTTGTAGATTTTCCCACTGTGAGAAAAAATGAAAAACACTTTACCTACAGAAACCGGTGACTCACAGAGACACTCGGGATCAATCACCATGTATACTGTATCTAGTTGAAAGTAAAAGGTCAGCTTGAGTGAAGATAAGTAGAACTGATAGAGTAGGCACTTTTCAGAGAACTGAAACGAGAAAAGAATGTCAGTTAGTGGTCACAGCCTGTCTGGGGCCCAGAGCAGTCATAGGAGACGGGAAGAAAGTCCATTAAATACCTGCAGGGCGCACACTGGACTATCTGGTTCCCTTCTAAGCCAACAAGAGCAACCCTATCACTTCCTCAAATCAGGATACTTTCCCAGGCAGGAAATGTATTGCTTTAAACTCATGCTCTGAAGTACCCAGGTTTGCATGTTCTTTGTCCTAGGCACTAAAGCTTGAATTAACAGATCAAATTCCAAAGAATGGGACACTCTGCCGAGCCAAGTCTGAGTCAGGAAGACTACAGAGGTTATAAAATACGATCACAAAGCATACACCCTGACCTAAGATTACTCTCTAGTGTCCATGGCAATTGCATCAGTCCAGAAAATGTCCCCCTTGAGTCCAGTTTTAACAGAATAACAGATTTATAATTAAATGGTTGACAAGTACTTGGTATTTGCCAAATGAACTTAGGGAAAAAAAGGGAAAAATTCCATTGCAGAGGTTAAAAAGACTGCTTTGCTGTTGAAGAAAGCTCTAGTCACTTAAAAATTCATTTATGCAGGATGGGCAGGAGAGGCCTTCTAACGTTGTCCCAAGACTATACTTTAAATCAGGCTTTCCCGGGTCCCGAAGAGAAGCATACTTTGGTTCTGAGGAGAGTTTTGCTGAAGTGTAGTCTCAAGCCGTTTGCTGCTTCTATGTTGATCCCATTGTCACGCAGCTGACTCATAGGGATGTCCCTGTTTTCAACGCTCACAGATGTCAGCTTGCCGGGAAATTCTGGTATGCTGAGAGTCATGTGCGTGGCATTGCACGTTACAGACAGATCTGGAGGAAAGATTGACAGAAAACCCATTACTAGCCTTGATTAAGTCCCCTGGAAAATGCTTCCCGCATGCTGAAGTTGTAGCTCCCCGCGGTCTTACCTGCCGCACAAATAGCTTGGGATGAGAAGGTGATCTTCCGCCCAGGGGACACAAATGAAAACTTCAGGAGCGCCGTGTAGAGGCGGCTGTTACCTTGCTGGAGGGACAGTGTTTTGAAGACAGTTGCTTGCTTAAATCTCTCACAGTAAGACATATACTCAGCAATAAGCATATACTCAAGCACAGGGCACTGTTTGGGTATCAGTGCAACCGAGACATTTCGTCCAGTGAAAGCTCAGAAGATGACCTGGTCCTAATGCTGTCCTCTGATGTCTGGATCTACTGTTTTCTATTGGTGTGACCTGCAGCTAATTACGTCTAGGCAGATATGAGACAGGGCTGGCCTTCCCGACTATTTTATGGGATGTCGGCCGGCAAAATGTTTCCGAAACTGAGCAATCTGCTCATGCTCAGTGTGAAACAGGACTGTGCTTTTCCAAGTGGCTGACACGAGCACTTCTGTCAGGCCCTGTGCAACTGCAGTCACTTCGCTAAAAACGGGAGGCAGGGACGCAGTCTGAGAAACGTCAGACAACTCCGACATTATGTGATCATGGAGGACTCGCACAAACCTAGGTTGTAGAGCCTACCGCATACCTAATGTTCATGACTGTCCGTGCCGTACTATTATACAACTGGCAGTCCGATAGGCTTGTTTACATCAGCGTCACTACTGAGGTGAGTAATGCATTGTGTTACATCGTTACTATGGCTACAGCATAAACAGGCTTAAGAATCGCACTCCATTGTAATCTTATGTAGTCTATCCCTGACCCAAACTTTGTTACACAGCACATGCCTGTACTTAAACGCATTAATATATTTAATGTAGTGTTTCACTGTTGGCCTGGAAAATACTAATACCTACTACTAAACGAGGCAGTATAACCCAAACGTAACACCTTAACTCATAAGATTTTAAGGACTTCCTTTGTTCTTCTAGTTTACAGGAAAGGGGGAGAAGAGATTGAGATAAGGACGTGTCTGTTTTGTTCACTGTTATGCCTTTAGTACCCAGTGAAGCGCTTGGCACACAGGCGTTAAGATGCTTGCTGAATGGGTTGTGTTGCCAGTTAATTTGAAGGCAGCATTTATACAACATTTAGACTTAGGAACACTGGTTTGTGCCTTGGTGGTACAAAAAGATGGTCACACCTACCACATAGCGAGTTACTCCAGTGGCATTGAGGGGCACATGAAGGGTCATCTTTTGGCTGTCAATCAGGAGATTAAATCCTTCTCTCAGGGCCTCCTGCAGGGTCAGGCTGTGCACTCTTGAAACATCACCAACCTCAATGATCCATCCCCTCTCAGATTTGTTTGTCTAAAAATCAAAAACTTTGATTAAAGGACTCAATCAGGACTCCTCAATCAGGAGACTATAACACTGCGGTTTTTTCAGATTAAGGTTAAATGTCAGCTTTAACAGATTTAAGTGTTAGTAAGGTTGGTCATTTAAAGATTACGTTCATACCTCACTCTCATCAGCCATACCACGAATAACTTGCGGAAAAGAAAACTGGAAGAAAAAAAAAAAAAATCACATGAAACTTTGATTTGGAGGAGAAAGTATCTGAAATCAAGCCACCGCTCACTCTGCAGAAAACTCCCAGTGTAACTGCTATGTTGTTTTCACACCAAGAATCCTGGTTGTGGGATACAGTAGGTGAAACACCAGGCCTGTTGTGAAGCCCAACTATGCCCTTAGATGTCATTTCATCTCTTTGAGCGTCAGACACCAAAAGGTAACTAGAGGATCTAAGTTCCGTTCCAGATGTAGGCTGAGACACTGGGTCCCTAAATGTGTAGCCTCCTCCTCTGTCTACAGAAATGCACTTACGTTAGACCACAAGTGTTACTATTGGCTGCAATGCGGGCCACAGTAGACTGCGAACCTCATGGAAGTGTGACTGGGCTCTTCCGCTCCTTTACTGTAGCCAGCATTTGGGACAGGGCCTGGAGCACCGCAGGGACTCAGGTTGTCCAGTGATTGTTAGGATTTGAATGGTGTCGGCAAACATACTTTCTATTACTAGACATTGTAAAGCCTGGGCCAATTCTTAGAACACCCTGTCAGGCGAATGCTACCATTCCTCCATTTTGGACCTGGAAACAAAGCCTCAGTGTAGCTATGAAAATAAACTCACAGTTATAGAGCAGCATAGCACTGAAATCCTGTCTGATTTCTAAGCCCAGCTCTTAGAACACCCTCCTATTTCTCCTGCTTTTGCCATAGGAGAAGTCAGTCAGATTTACTTACAGAAATGAAATCCTTCATACAGGCTGTGGATTCTGAAAGCTCATGCATTTCCACTTGTACGGCTGGGCAGAAAAACTGGTATGTGGCACCGGACCTGGAAGCAGCGCTGTTGTCCAGGACTCTGATGTTCATCTGGTGCCCACCAGGCTATGTGAAAACAGCACAGGAAGAACATGATTAAATGCTGGGACCTCGGTGGGAAAGGCAATTCCAGAATAACACCTGACCCAACAGAGCGGCGAAACCTTCGAAGTTACCCATATTACAATTTCTGATTTCTATGCCAGGCGACTGACTAGCTCTTTGAGGTAGCCTGGCAAAGACTCGTTGTCATAACAGTTTGAGCATCAGGGATTACAGAGTTCAGTGTTTTGTATTTCTTTTTCTCTTCTATTTAATCTCTGTCTGGGTATTGTAGCCCTGGCTGAGTGGACATGGGTAGGCGGGCTTTGCCCAGGTTATTCAAATGCAGCCATTAAGCACCTAAGTAGTAGCCATTGTGCCAGGCACGGCCATCTCTGAGGTTAGCTTGAGCCCAGGGAAAACAGCCCAAAGCAGAGGTCCACTAGCCTTCTACTGAATGTAGTGACTGTTTTAGATTCTGGACCAAATCTAATCCACCGAATTTAAAATACACTCTGAAGGATCATTCTTAGTTCAATGACCATTAAAAACAAAGGCGATGGGCTATATGTGGCCACCCACGGGCTGTAATTTGCAGACTCTTGGTCCCCTGAAGCTGGGAAGGCGTTTTAGAGGGGAAAGTTTAATGCCTAGATACTTTCACAATGGACAGTGATTACTTCATTAGGCATTCACAAAGGCTCTTATAGACCAGATCACTTACAGTGCAAGCCTGTTTCCAGAAGAGGGTCTAAGAAGTTATCCACACAGACCTTAGGTTCTATTCTACATGGGCTACTTGTATCAGGGTCAGATGATGTGGCTTATTAAACATGGGGATGTCAAGACTCACCCTCAGACTTACATCAGCTAAAGTCAATTAAGTCCCTACTTTCCAAACTCCCCAGGTGATTCTCTGTATTCTGGGGTTTTTTTTGTTTTTTGGTACAGGAATCAAACTCAGGACCTTGTGCTTGCCAGGCACGCCCTTGTGCCACTGAGCTATATCCCCGGCCCTCCCGTATTCTAAAGCTTGAAAAAAAAAAAAACTGGTTTTGGTTTTGAGACTCGGTCTCACTATGTAGCCTTGAACTCACCATGGAGGCCAGGCTAGCCCCAGATTTGTGGCGATCCTCCTGCCCTCAGCCTCCCAACTACACCACACCTGGCTAAAGCTTGAGAACTTCTGTGAGTTTGCCTTTCCCACTCCTAACAACTTTGACTGGGCAATACCATTGCTTGGCAACAGAGAACCCTTATTGCTTAACTACTGTTTGCTTTCTAACACCTGTTTTTAGGCTACAGGTTCTTATTTGCTAGCATCAAAATCGCTTTCAATCTCACATGGGGCTTAGAGATACAAATAGCTCATATCTGAGCATTTTCAAAGTCTAGATTCTACACCAAGTCTTTATCTGTGCAATATAATTAAACTTTAGTTAACCTTTTGAGAGGGTACCATTATCCCTATTTTCCAAAGGCAAAGAGAAGCTTAGAAAGGTTAGACAACCTGTTTGGGGGTCACCCCTACATAACACCAGAGCTAGAGCTCAAGGGCTCAACCACTCAAACCCAGGGCTTCTCAGTATTTCCAGTTCAGGCCTGATGATTAATGTGGGGGTGCCCTAGGCAACAGGCTATTAGCAACCTCCTTGGCTTGTACCCACTAGATGCCAG